GTGGCCCCGCCCTACCCCCGGGGGTCATGATATTAAGAATTTAATATCTACACTACCCAAGGATGCTTCCATATGAGTTTCAGCTTTTGAGGCCAGGTGGTTCTTGAGAAGAAGATTTTTAAAGATTTGTTCTATATATTTCTATGTAAAACTTGGATTCCCTATTGTGGCCCCGCCCTACCCCCGGGGGTCATGATTTTAACAATTTAATATCTACACTACCCAAGGATGCTCCCACATAAGTTTCAGCTTTCCTGGCCCAGTGGTTTCTAAGAAGAAGATTTTTAAAGATTTGTTCTATATATTTCTATGTAAAACTTGGATTCCCTATTGTGGCCCCGCCCTACCCCCGGGGGTCATGATTTTAACAATTTAATATCTACACTACCCAAGGATGCTTCCACATGAGTTTCAGCTTTCCTGGCCCAGTGGTTCTTGAGAAGAAGATTTTTTAGTGACCCCACCCTATTTTTGTCTTTTCTTGATTATCTCCCCTTGTTAGGAGACTTGGCCCTTCATTTTAACAATTTAAACTCCCCTTCACCCAAGGATGCTTTGTACCAAGTTTGGTTAAAATTGGCCCATTGGTTCTTGAGAAGAAGTCAAAAATGTGAAAAGTTTACAGTCGGACGGACGGACAGACAGACGGACGGACGACGGACAAAATGTGATCAGAAAAGCTCACTTGAGCCTTCAGCTCAGGTGAGCTAAAAAGGGTAGGCAGGTCTGTAAAAGTCTAATAAAGGCTACTCCTACAGTTGAAATCTTGTTGCAATCTTGCCACAAAAAGAGAGTTAAAGCTGAACACTACTCGTATATAGGCATAGTCCACCATATTTCCCGTTTTTCAACGCTCTCCCTATAACCGGTATATAATGAGCAGATCGCTAGTCAGTTCATTGTATTTCACTGTGGAGATCCGACGAATGTAGACGTATACCTTACAAAGCGTGCTACTCAATCTCGATGAAATTATCAAATTGTACGTATTTTTGTCCAAAACAGGACAGAAGTAACATGGAAAATACAGGTAAATAAATTATTTACAAACGGAAAAGCATATGAAAACAAGAAATAAACGCAAAAGACCTATTTGTACATGTCAGCCTAAGAGTTTTGAGTGTGTAATGGGGCGTAACGAAAGCGGTTTATATACCCGTCTGACAGTGCCTATTTATGAGAAGTGTCCAGCTTTAATCGTGGATCATTATTAGGTCTTTCCACCTTTCTGTGGAAAGACCTATTGATTTTCTTCTGTTTATTATTATTATTCTTCCCTATTATTCTTATTTTTCTTCCGCTGATTTTTTGTTTCGACATTTATCAAAAAGACTTTTTGTTCATCGTAAAGGTCATTAAAAGTTAGGAACAAATTTGACCCAACGCTTACGAACTATGACCCCTTTTGAAGTTATTGCCCTTTACGCAAGAAATGCTTGTTATCGCTACTCCTTCGAAACCCTACACCGTAGAAATATGAAACCTTCACCAAAGTCTTCGACTAATTGAGAGGATTCTAGAATCTATTCATTGCAAAAGTCTTCGGTGACCCCTTCAATGAGTTATTGCCCCTGAAAGTCTTTGAATTTTACAAATAATTAAAAATTTTTAAAACGAGAAGTTGTAGAGACATAAGACTAACTGCATAAGATTCATTCACCTTTGAGCTTAAAATTCATGTAAAGGTCAAAGGTCAAGGTCATTCCAAAATTGAGAAATTAAGCTCTTTTTATATCTTTTTTGTCTCTTAACATATACAAACTGTCTTAACATCACTTAAATGTTCTCTTAAAACTATTTAAAAGATTCAATTTGTATTCTGTAAGATTGACCCTATTAAAAGTTATCGCCCTTTGTGCGAAAAACCTTGTTATCGCTACTACTTTGAAACCGTAAACAGTACAAATATGAAACCTTCACTAAAGTCTTCGACTAATTGAGAGGATTCTGGAATCTATTCATTGCGAAAGTCTTCGGTGACTTCTTTAATGAGTTATTGCCCCTGAAAGTCTTTGAATTTTACAAAAAATTAAAAATTTTTAAAAAAAGAAAGTGTAGAGACATAAGACCAACTGCATAAGATTGATTGACCTTTGAGCTTTAAATTCATGTAAAGGTCAAAGGTCAAGGGCATTCCAAAACTGAAAAATTCAGCTCTTTTTATATATCTTTTGTCTTTCAACATATGCTTAATGTCTATGCATCATTAATATATACTTTTAAAACTGTGTCAAAGTTTTCATTCTTGTCCCTTACGATTGACCCTATTAAAAGTTATTGCCCCTTGTGCGAAAAACATTTTTATTGCTATTGCTTCAAAACTGTAAACCGCAAAGACATGAAACCTTCTCTAATGTCTTATTGGACTTTAGGCAAAACTTTTATGTTATGTTAAGTGCAAAAGGATCTGCTGACTCCTTGAATGAGTTACTGCCCTTAAATGCTTTTGTGCTTACTATTAAACCTTATAACTTTAAAACTATAAGTCATAGAGACATTGGGTTAATTACAATGTGACCCTTGAAATTTGACCTTGAATATGACTTGAAGGTCAAAGGTCAAGGTCACCTAAAATTTTTTCTCATTTTTATTTTTTTTTCTTCTTTTAAGCCATTCCTTGTTTCTTTTTTATGAAATTTAATTTAAAATAGATAAATATTAAATGAAATTGAAATTCAAAAGGTGGAAAGACCTCTTATTGTTCTGTGAACAATAAGTCTCCTAGTTCTTTTTACTGCTTTTGTAGTTTAAGTCTCAACTGCTACTTTTCTCTTCCTTTATTAGTACTAACCAGTAGAGCCACAGTCCCCACAAAGACTTGTGTTTGTATTTTGCAATCGGTTTTTCCGATTGCATCAGAGTATGCGGTCGCGCGTTTACAGATATGATTCAAATAGATTTAGTAAAGTACACAAGAACAGCATTGTAATGATTCCGTAAGGACTCTTCAAAATACAAAAGAAATACAGACACATACATGAATAAATAAATTATTCGTGAAAGAAAAACAGTATACTCATTTAGAAATTAAAATGTTACTGTCTTATTTCAATTTTTATAGGATACTTATATGGAATAAGCAATGTAATATAAGCAATATTAAGGTTTCGTCAAAGGTAAACATGTCCAGAAATTTATTTTTACAATAGCCCAAAAACTGTGTGAGGTATAAAATTAAAACTTTAACAGTGAATAAATTTTTCATTGATTAACAGATAGAAAGTATCACTTGATAGAAAAAATACTAGGAAAAAAATATTGAGAAAAATTCTTAAAAATGCATATATTTTCAAAATATATACCTAATTAATTTAGCGCTCTTAGTGAAAACCATTATTGCAGAAACAAAATATGTTTATCAATGTAGGGCAAGTTGGACTTGGATAGCCTCTGGAAAGTTGTTTTCCCTGTTTATTTTGTCCAAATGTTAAGATTTGAAAGTGAAAGTACATTGCTAATGGCGGATTCTATAGGTGTCTTGTCTTTATACATGTCATGCTTTCAATAACAGCCTTTCAGAGACCATTCGCGTCCAACTTGCCTTTCAGTGATAAAAATATATTATTTCTGCAATTATGGTTTTCACAAAAAAGACAAAATTAAGCAGGTGCATTTTTCTTTAAATATGCACATTTTCTGATAAAATTTTTCACAAAAATATCTTTTTAAAAATATTTTTATCAAGTGATACTTTCTATCTATTAATCAATGATACATGTATATTTATAAACTGTTAACGTTTTGACTTTATACCACACATAGTTTTGGAAATATTGTAAAAATAATTTTTAGACATTGACCTTTGACGAAACCTTAATCACCTAGAAACCAAAAAATGGGAATTTTTTATCCATGACTACCGAATATTACCTGTGAATAATGATTTAAATTAGTACTAACAATAAATATGTAAGATAACTATTCAGTTTTCAACAAAAAAAAAACATCTTTGTCTCAATTCACGACTTTAATTTGTGCGAGAAACGGGGGGGGGGGGGCGAGATGTACATACAAAAACATGACAAGTATCTTAATAAGGCAGGATTTTTATATAAGAACAAAATATTTTCATTTTTTCAATTTATTGACAACATATACATGTACATCATTCACAGAATGCATTCAGTAGGAAAGTTATTTTTAAATACAATTATTTCTAGAAAACAAGAGGCCCAGGAGCCTTATGGGTCACCTGAGCATCATGTTACAACTTTCCAACAATTGAATTTGATTCGTGTTTAAACAAAAGCCATGAAATTCAACCTTGTGAAAGAGGCACAATTCTTTATTATCAGCATACACTTAGCATGCTTACTTTGCTTACTTTATACCCAGTTGTAGATCAGAGTAACGAAGAGAAAATGCAATTCCATTTTATAACCACCGGATGTGCACCCCAAGCCACAAGAACCACCGACCTTGGGGTCACTCACACATTTCAAAATTTTAGAAATTGTACCGTAAGATTTAAATTTTATTTCATCATAAATGGTTTATTTAAACCAAAGAGCAGATGTCAAAGCATAACTTTATTTTCAGACTATGTACCCCCCCCCCCCTGCAGTACCCTTAACCCAAGGGTCTGCAATGATTGATTGATTGAATTCTGTTTAACGTCCCTCTCCAGAATATTTCACTAATATGGAGACGTCACCGTTGCCGGTAAAGGGCTGTAAATTTAGGCCTATGCTCGTCACTGAAATGAACCATTTTTGAAAAGGCACCTTCTTCATCATAAATATGTACTTGGATCATTGGCATATTAAACAGGAACAAAGGAAAAGAGTTTTCTAAAGAATTAATCCATCTTCACAAAATAATCATTAGAGCCCCGCCCTAACACCAGAACCCCTGATCCAGGGGCCATGAAATTCACAAATTGGGAAGAAGCATCTTTCCTCATCATAACCATGTACATAGTTCATTGGTTTAATACACAGGTGCATTTTCACTATAAAATCTATTTAGCCCCCCCCCCTTACACTAAAACCCATGACCCTGGGGCCATGAATTTCACAATTTTGGTAGAGGACTCAATGCTGATTACAATCATGCCAACAGTTTGACTGCTTGATTTCCAGAAGTATAGAAGACTTTTAAAGATTGCATTAATTTTAGTGGTTTCGTCCCCACCCCTCAGGATCCCAGGGAGCAGGGGCCATGAAATTCATAACTGTTGTCCCCCTTCACCCATACATGCTTTGTGCCAAAATTGGTTTAGGTATTGCATAGAAGAAGCTGAAAATGTTCAAATGATAACGCACGGCGCACGACGACGGACATAAACGGATAGCAATAGGTAACCTGAGTTTACTCAGGTGACCTACAAAGATATACATGTTAACAGCGAAAATACAAACCTTCTGCAAGTCGACACGCACTAACATTTTCATATATTACCATATTTTCGAATCAGAAGAAAGTAAAAAAAAATTGATATGAATGAAAAAACGTTTCATGTATCAGGAAATCTTCAACGGTTTAATGAAAACGACCATCATGGTATAATCCGTTTCTTAATCCTCGTATGCCGAGAGGGAAAAACCTATTAAAATATAACAAAAAAACTCTTCATACATTCGTTATATATGACAAATGTTATATTGATTGATTGTATTTTGTCTAACGTCCCTATCGAAAATTTTCACTCAGATGGAGACGTTACCGAATGCTGGTGAAGGATATCAAATTTAGACCTTTACTCTTCCCTCAATTCCATTGAGCAGCGAGGGTACTGTATCGTGCCATAGCCTACCGTGACCTACGTTTTTAGGATCATACCCGAAAGACCCGTTAGTTTCAGTTATAATGCCGAGTCCTCCGCAAATGAACAGTCAGTACTTATGTGTTCGTCTAAGGTATGATTTGAAGGAGATTCGAACCCGAGCCTCCCGATTGCGAAGCGAACGCTCTCCCACTACGCTACCGTGACCAGTGACAAATGTTTTAAGTTTCACTATTACACTTGAAGAATGCTGAATCACACCAGAAGCAGTTACGTTACCCGACAAAAGCATTTATAAAACCTTCCCGATCAACCTCGCATGATTTTACGCTACACACTATAGCTAGTTCAAGATTTATGCTGTCAGTTGCTACAATCACTTGAAGAAGGGAGCGTAATTCTTAAAGTCTTGAAAGCATTTCTGAATCATTTGTCTAAACATTAACTATTTTTTACGAATTTTAAATCGGAAGAACTGTCAACTTTGGGTGTATAATGTGTTATGTCTTCAAGTCATGTGTTATATGTAAAATATCTCCATCATTCGGAAATTCTATAATACAGATTGACCACTTATGATATGATAAAGTAAATACAACATAGATAAACTATGAGTGAATACCTAGTGACGTTTTATCATCATCCTCGTTTCTCTTATAGATGTCTCCGATGTCTGATCAGTGGTTCCCACTGTAGGATTCCAAGGTTTGCGCCAGTATTCCGGGTACCAGGGACCGTTAAGGAAGGCTTCGTGACATTGGTTAAACCACCAGCCTCCTCCCCAATGAGCAGCGCAGTTATGGCCACTATACCAGTCGTTATCCCTGTCTTTGGTGGTAAAGTACATCCCAGAGAGATTAGCCCACGAATAAGGAGTGTGTAATATACTGTCACCTGTAGAAGGATTGCATGCGAAATAGTTACCCCAAAATAACTAATGTACTTAACTGAACTCAGTTGTATTGTTAACAATAGATAATGAAATCCCACACTGATCACTGGCAATGATCCCACTATTAAGAAACACGTTTACAATGGCATATATTGAATAATTGATAATTGTTGTTTTAAGCCAGTTTAACAATTTATAATGTCATAAAACATACTGGATTAATTGATTTAAGGACTAATTTTAAAACTCAGGGTGATTTATATAATAGATATAAACATGTGTTACGAAACATCAAAGACATGAAATATAACAATACAATACAGATGTGATGTACTATGACACAATACAGATGTGATGTATGACGACATAATACAGATGTGATGTACTATGACGCAATACAGATGTGATGTATGACGACATAATACAGATATAATGTACTATGACGCAATACAGATGTGATGTATGACGACATAATACAGATGTGATGTACTATGACACAATACAGATGTGATGTACTACTACACAATACAGATATGATGTACTATGACACAATACAGATCTATATGATGTACTAGGACACAATACAGGTGTGATGTACAACGACACAATACAGATGTGATGTACTATGACACAATACAGTTGTGATGTATGACGACATAATACAGATGTGATGTACTATGACGCAATACAGATGTGATGTATGACGACATAATACAGATGCAATGTACTATGACGGAATACAGATGTGATGTATGACGACATAATACAGATGTGATGTACTATGACACAATACAGATGTGATGTACTACGACACAATACAGATATGATGTACTATGACACAATACAGATATGATGTACTAGGACACAATACAGGTGTGATGTACAACGACACAATACAGATGTGATGTACTATGACACAATACAGTTGTGATGTATTACGACACAATACAGGTGTGATGTACAAGGACACAATACAGGTGTGATGTACTACGACACAATACACGTGTGATGTACTATGACACAATACACGTGTGATGTACTACGACACAATACAGGTGTGATGTACTATGACACAATAATGATGTAATGTACTATGACACAATACAGATGTACTAGGATTGATGAGATAGAAGAACAATGAGAACATGTGTAATGTATATATCTTTGATATACATGTATTATGGCTATTTACATTATGTACTCCTTAATTTAAGCCAGATTTCACTCAATACTTTTGTTATCTTTCTTTTTCTCTCATCTCCTCCTCTATTTTCTTTCTTTTGCATGATACATGTCCGTGTTTGCTCTGCTCTTATTTTGTATATTTGTTTAATGGACGTTGAGATTGAATACTGTTCGTTATTTCCATATCCTTCCTTCATTGTCACATACCTAAAGTTCCTGTGGCAGGTCCTCCCAGAAAGAGTTGATACTTGTTTGTTTCATCGGACACGGAGAATTGATCGTACAGCTCATACAGTGTTGTTCCATTCACCAGTGTGATGGAGACGTACAGGAATGAGTTTCTTCCCTTTGTTAATTGATTTATGGCGTCATTTCCTGTTTAAAGATTTATTCATATCAAACATTTTTATGCTGATGTAATATATTTTTGAAATATACGTTGAGGAGGTATCTAAGATTCAAAAAGTGAATTTCAAAATGATGCTGTGTACATCTTTCCTTTAGTGTTTGTAAGTCTGGAAAATTGAAATAGTTTGTGAACGCCAAATACACATTTAATATCAATTGGTTTAAAATTTTATGATAACCTTGAAATTTTTATATAAAGTTCATTGGACATGTCCAAATTATTGAATGGATTAACAATTTATATTTACCAATCCAGACATTCTTGTCCGGTGTACCAAAACCATTTTTATACTCGGACCAACTCTGCTTAAAGCTCAGGGATCCACTTATTCGCTTTTGAATTGCCTTGAAAAAATGCATGAATTGTATATTATTATGCTATGTATGTCGAGTCAACTTTAAAATAACGATTGTTTGCCCTGTCCAGACTCAGTATTTAAACCAGAAGTCTCTGTCGAGACTGAAGCTCTACTGGTTTGTACTTACATCAAAAGAAGAGAAAAGTAGCAGTATGGAATTGAGACTTCACTACAGCAATAAATAGAATAATGATCCTTGACTGTCTCTTTCTGTTCTTAGTGTAGTCTACTTGCATGCCACATTTTATTACAATCATGCTAAGACTGCATTTGGAGTAGCATTTTGAGGGTATATTACAGAAATTTCTATTTCCATGGCAATCATGTTTATCGAAATCAAAAAATGATATACAGGATTGGGTATGTTAGTGTAGTTTACTTCTGTGTAATATTACATTGAAATTAGACCAAAACTATTGGAGGAGTAGCATTTGGAAAGAATTTTACAGAAAATTGTATGTTTAGTAACTACGGCAACACTGTTTATTCAAACAAAAACCGATAAAAAGCATTGTGTATCTTAATGTAGTCTGCTTCTGTGCCAAGTTATATAAAAATCAGACCACAACTGTAGGAGGAAAAGCATTTTGAAAATATTTCGTTAATTTTTGAACCACGGCAACACAGTTCATCAAAATCAAATAGAATTATGTATCCGAGTGTAGTCTACTTGTGTGCCAAGTTATATTGAAATCAGATCAAAACCGTAGGAGGAGTAGCATTTTGGTAGGTAGGACGCCGAAAACATTACTATCGCATCATATCCTGTGATCGCTCACCAGTAGAGCTAACAATTAGATCAGTAGCTTGGTAGAAATTTGTTTTGTAGCAAATTTCAACATCAATGTTGAATTTTTATATTCTAGATGCACAATAAAATATCAACCTACATCCTGAAAAGCATAACCAGAGATTCAAAATTAAATTCATTGATTCTAAAACCTACATACCGTCCAGCCTCCTCCCATAGTACTCATATCACAGTAAGCCTTCAGCGGAAGAGATCTCGTCCCAGGAGGATATATATCGTACACACCTGATTGCCACTGGCCATTATCATGAAGTTCCTTACAATCCATAGGGAAAACTTAAACATAAATAATAGAGTGAATTTTAAAAGAAATTGTTTTTGTAAATAAAAACATCAAAAAAGCCATGCAAACGCAGATGCCTTTTAAAATATAAAGAACCAAGGTGTTTCAGAAGTAGGTCGCTGTGCCCTACTTTATGGTCAACATTCTCCGAAAATTTAAGATGCATCAACTGAGAAAGTTAAACAATTCTAGGGCAATGAATACCTAAAATACTTAAATATAGCCATAAATTATCAAAAGTAGGTCACCAGCTTTTTGGTCGACATTTTTTAAAGATTAAAAAATGAAGCCAAAGTTTGATGATTATAGGCTTGAAGGTATACAAAATACGCCTTTTAAACAAATTGAAAACAAATGCCCGTAAAATTTAAAGCATACTTTTAAGTTGATGTTGTTCGAGGACATAAGATGCATCCACTGACAAAGTTTGATAATCACAAGCTAAGATATGCATCCAAATCAATTTGGCCTACTTTTTTGTTTACATGATGTGAAGTCCTAAGATGCATCAACTTACAATATTTGATGATCCTAATATTTATAGTAAGCAAAATTACATTTCAATTAAGTGTAAATGTTGGTCAACTTTGAGGTGACCTTGAGACCAAGCCCTATGTACCAGGGCCACAGCTTGCACAATTTTTAATCTTCGACATATCATGACCCTTGGATGGAAGATTGTTTAAAATCTGCCTGGTAGTTCTATAGAAGATTTTTTTTAGCAACCAGTACTTTTGGTTTTAATTTTTTGATTATCTCCCCTTGTTTCAGGGCCCCAACCCTAGTTCTCGAATACAAGTAAATGGTAGTCCTTGGGCCAAGAATACTCCCTGACAAATTTGACAATAATTTGCCAAGGGGTTCTTAAGTTATGGCCCATTTTCTAAAAAGTTCACGCACACTGCACAAATGGCCAAAGCATTTTGCTCTCTGAGCCTTTGGCTAAGAAGAGCTAAAAATGACGATGAAAAATATCTCATTAACCCATTAAACAATTTCAATACTTGATATCGCGATTACTTAACTAAGCTGAACTCTTTCGCGATGGACGGCTGTTGGTATGGGACAAATGTGCTTTTGATTTTTCCTTTATTTTTTTAATCGAACTCCTCTCATTTATTTTATTTAAAAAAAACGTCATATTTTAGAGCTGATAAAATACTGTAGACGTAATTTTTTTACAGGGTTAAAATTCTGCAAAATCTCACTTTCTATTAAATCTGCGATTTGAAAAATGCGCAAATTTCTCAGACTGTCACTTTATACCTTGCATTTATATTAAGTATTCTGTAGAAATTTCCGCGGAAAATTTGTTACCGCGTACAAAGTATTGTAAGACAAACCCAATAAAACAATTTTAGACTTCTAAAGAGACAACTGAAATATTTATGGTAAAATAGTCAGAAAGAGTGTAAAGTATTGTGCACTTCTAGGAAATTTCAAAATAGCCAACTAAAATTTTTTGATTTCAGAAGATTAATAAATTCGTATTTTCCACAAAAACTGATTTTGTTGATTGTCGGTTTTTTATTAGTGTTATATATTGTTTCGACGGAAGTATTATTTCTTTTTTTATATTTTAAAAATCATTAGTTTGTATTCATCTTTTGTAAAATAATGTGTATACTTTAAGAGAATTTAAGGATCAATAGAAACAAATTACTTCTGCCTCGCCCTCCTTTTCAAAAATGATATGGACGTTTGTGAGTACAAACAATGACAAACTGTTGCAAAAGATTTGATATGAAAGTTTTAAGTTTTTCAAATGTAAAGATATCTCACGTCCGCCTAATTTGTCGTTTTTTATGATTTTGCCGCATTAATTATTTCTACACTTGTGATCTCTTTGTCGTGCTTTTAGAACGCCAGGGATCCAGTATTCTGTATTTCGCATCCACTATTCCTTACCAGAAAAACAACTTGTGAATAATTTTATTTAAATATGACTGCATTTCATTACATTTAGATAACTTTGGTTAAAGGTGGTCTTCATATTGAAAATATGCATTTAATTTTTCTTCTAAAATTATTTCAATGTTCAACAATCTGTCTTAAATTTATCGAATTGATTAACACGACTTTGTGGCGTCGTGGTATGATTGCTGGATTGAGAACATAAGTTAAAGATCGTGACTTCGAGTCTCACAGTGCGTGATTCTTATCTACTATTTTATTCTTTTTTTTCTTTCTGTGCATTTTTTCTATGTTTTTTTCATATCATTTTGTAATACAAGTATAAATAATGTGAGAAAGATATGATACAACAGTACACCTTGAAAGTATCTGGAAAAAAAACAGCCCTAAACTATTTTAATGACCCAAAGTCATAGCTGCTAGCTTGTTTTATTTAAAAAGTTCTGTCAATCTTGTTTAGAATTAGAGTATTGAACAAGTAAAATTATTGTCATGCAACAAACTTGCAACTATGAAAATATAAGTGTGGTCCACAAATGATTACATACATGATTTTGAATTGAAAAGGTACATGTATCTATAAATAGAAACAGGAGATTTCGTTTAAGTCGCTTGAGTCGGCCGAGTCCTCGGTCAGGCAGCTATGGCTCTTGTTTATACATGTATATGTGTGCTTATTTTTTCCACACTTCAGTTACGTAGGAGTTTGTCAAACAGGATTGGATGAAACATTTAACCAATTATTTATAAAGTTTTAATTTTTTCTCTTTCTTAATATTCTACTACATGAATGTTAAATATTTTTTATTCAAATTACTCTAATTCTGCAGAAACGCACGCCGACTTACAACTTTCATATCGTATAACCGACAACTTCTTGGCAGCCGGTAATTAAAGGTTTGTTATTGACGATCACACTGAAGAAAACTACAAAGTATTTAATAGCAAGTGAACGTATTGGTACTTTCGGGAGAGAGGGAAAAAAAGCAATACCTACGATCAGAAAACATATATCTCCAGCCGGCCTCCTCAGAAACTGAAGAAGTATTGAGATTTTTGTAGGTCCGGCACTTCTTCAGGTAATTATTGTATCCAAACACCCCGCATTCTTTGTGACAAAACATGGCACACCCAGGCATCGTCTTAGCGTTGTATTCTCCCAAAAGTTCCACATCTGACTTTTTATCATCAAAGTTTGGGTTTGTTACATATCTCCGAGAACACATGGTAACTCGAGCCACCGTAAAGTAGACAACAATTAAACAAATGCCGGAGAGAAGGTCCATACTGTTCTTTTTGTGTTGTGTTACAGGGCTCCTGTAAGAGATTGTAAGAGTCCTCAGGCCGACAAGTATAAATATATAAATATCAGGCCCTAAGCGTCATGGAAATGTGATTGGTTGTTTGGTACGTGTTCTATATGATGCCTTTTTAAATTCGCAGAAATATATCGATTTTGTGAAACATAACAGACATGCATCTTCAGCTGGAAGAACGAAATTTGACATCGAGTTACATTAACTAAATTTTACTGTATATCGTATGTTTTGTTATACAGAGCTGAATTTTAAATCGAAAATGGTATATATGATATAAAAATTTAAATGGAAAAACTGTCTATATACATCATCCATGCTTTTATTTCAAAGTTTGTGAAAAGGGGGGGTGTCAAAAAATATATACCTATCCAGACATCCATTTTTTGTTTAAATCATCTGTCCTTAAGAAATTAAAGACAACATGCCATATATGGTTGTGTAGATAAGTTATTGTAGAAAACATAGGTGTAATCATTTTTAGTATACATTTCCTCTGCAAGTGTAAATGCGATTCTTGGGGAGAGGGTACTAATCTGTTTATATGGAGTTACATACCTTGTGTTATTATAATTTTACGGGTTAAAAAATTATTACCGAACCCAGTGTATGTGAGCAGCATTCAATAAATTATGAAACATTTACATTCAACTTATTTATGGTTAACAATTATAGCATATTAATATCTCTGTAAACATTAGGAAGATATATACTGTATTAATAAGTTGTATAATAAAATAAATGTGGACTCATTTAACGGTCAGTATGCACTGATAATGACACAGGAAGACATATACTGACCTCAGATACATGTAGAATATATACCTCGGGCTAGCACCCTCGGTCGATATAGTCAATGTATCTTCGGTCAATATTGGTCAACCTGGGTCTTTATAAATTCATATTGACCTACATATTGAGTCCATATTTGTATAATAATTTGATAAGTTTAAATAATTTCCTTTTATAATTTTCTATACTCACATGCTAAAATTGTCTTGATTTAACATAGGTGGTGGGGTGGTGGTCATAAACATGTAAGCATACACGAATAGAGGGAAAGTGAACCTTCTGAGAAGAATTTTTAACAGCAAGAAATTTTTTCCGTCGAAATGAACGTTGAAGCTCTATATATTGAAGTAAAGAACTACTTATTATTTTGCAACATTTTGTAAATTTAAATCATTGATAATTGCTTTTTTCTTGGGGCGTGAAATGAATATAAAAAAAATCATAAAATTTTAAATTTAAAGGCAGTTTACACTTTAGTTTAAGCATCATTTAGTTACTTCAAACGAATGTTATTAGGAAGCAATTAAGGTATTATAAATATTATATTAGCAGATCCGTTCATTCGAAAAAAAATCCATATTTTACAACCTCTGCTTTCATATCCAGTCAGCACAATTTTAAATTTACCATGTTTTATAATTATGTAAATTCCGTGTATGTTATTTGATTAAGAGGAAATATAAGTCCAGTGCAAGGGTTAAAACAGCAGTGTCAAGAATTAAAAAACCAGGTCCTCGGAGCAGACCTTAAAATTATAAACCGATGTTCTTTTTCCAAGTAGATGCTGACATGAGAAATATCCATAAAATGTCATAAGTGCAGAGTTTGCACGAGAAATAAATTTCAGTGGAAAAAAGAGTTTTTCCAAGAAAGATCAATCAGTGGTCAAAAGTGCAGAGTTTGCACGGAAGTCATCACCCCCAAATCTTACTAACACAGAGCAGTGCAGTTAAGGTTATAATAAGGGAACGGTGCCTAATCTAAAATATATAATTGACGTCACTTAGAACTGCATTGTATCAGGTCTTCAGATAATAACTAATGAAACATATTGAGAGAAGGAAGATTATCAAGATCAAAAGTTCATAAAACAATACAAAATAGACTCAGAGCAAACACGGACCTCCAAAACATCAGAGATGGGATAACTTGCCAAGGAGGAGTGATTAATCTTCTCATTTTAACCCCTTAGATACCTGTAGATTACCTGAAAACTATTTCATGCATTTTGTCGTGAGTTAAATAGCGAGATGCAAATAATTTATTGATTGCACTTTTCGTTATATCGATCTATTGAAAGAGCATTCCTTAAATCTCAGATGAGAAATGAGGTGAGTCAGTCACGTGATTAAATCCTCCGTGCAGTTGAAATATTTATAATAGTTCTAATTAAAAGATATAACATGTTTATTAATATGTTTATTAGCTTCAATATATGATATGTTTTCCTGTTTGACAGGATGTTACTGACGAAAATAATCCCATTTTTATATACATTTCATAAAAAAATTAAAAGGTTTATTTCCGCAGTACAGTTTAGGCAACATTTTCTATAAATAGTCACCGAATACGATACCCTTAATGTCTAACTGTTTTATTTTCAAGCAAGACACTCTAGTTTATATAGCTTTATCTTATCTTGAAGAGTATGTCCCTCGCTTTTTACATTTGTATTTTTTCTCATCATGTGATCCTCTAAAGTCACGTGGGCTCCGATTTTTGGTCAAAAAATGAAATGTTATATTTTACTAAAACGTTCAAGGGAAAGACAGACAAAAAAAAACTACACAGTGTTTTAGATTGTCCCTATGTATCTATACTTTCTCAAAAGTGATGCTCATACAGATAATTTTCCGATATACCTGTATTTAAGTTATATAGCTAAAACAGACAGTAGTATATGAAAAAAATGTTTTTTTCTTAATTTCATCGGAAATTATAAATTACCTAAAGGATTACTAAGAAATGAGCATAACGTTTTGAAAACTATACAGTCAAATAAAAAATTTGAAATATATATCTACTTTCTGGATTATCCTTGAACTTTTTAATTAAAAATTGAAATCTTGGTACAGTCAATCTAAATATAGTTTTCAAACGCATCATTGACCAAGCATGGGAGATAACTCTTTGATACTTGATATAGTTTGTTTACCTCGTACATTTTAAATAAACATACTTGCGGACTGCGCTGGGCTCTTAACTAAATCAAAACGGTATGCATAAAACATCCTGGACATTACTGTCTTCATTCTCGTTACATTGTATACATTATGTTTGCTAGAAGACGTCTTCTGAACCTTCTGCATTTCCTCAAAGATGTGTAAATACACATGCAGCTACATTTAGATCTAAAGTTTGCCGCAGCATTCATCGTGTAAAATAAAACGTCAATGGTAAATAAAATTGAAATATTCAACTATTATTAATAATCAAAGAATAGCCACAAAAAATTATTAATTTGATAACTATACCCCTCTGCCACTACTGTACATACACTTGTGTATATATGGATGTAATGGTAATGTCGGAAATCTTTCCAGTCCACAGTGTAGTAATGTGAATGTAATGGACTTTTTAACCATACACAGAGACGTAAGCGTAGTCTTGTGCATCTGTCGTACAATAAACCTGCAATACACGATGTATCCTTTGATTCATTACTACCTTACGTAAATTAACAATTACATTTACATCATATCGCACCAAAATTTACTCTGTCCATTTGTGTTTTTCGGTTGGATCGGTGCGCGGGGGCGTGCTCTGCATGTGGACGATTTCTAAAGTGAATTGAATTGTTGACAAGGAGGTTGGTGGTGCGGGAATATCAACAGTCTTGTTTGGGGTCATCGTTTCGTGAGTTCTGTGGTCGGTGCGGCGGCCTTGTCGGCAGGTGCAATTTGTCATTCGGACAATTGCTAACAGACGTTTCTCATGCTAATTGTTAGTCCATTGTTTGTGTATGGGTTGACGGCGGGTTTTTTTCCCGTTATTTTACGACAATGATCACACGGCGGGTGTGACCCGTCAGCAGGAGATGCTCACTCCTCCATGGCACCTGATCCCATTTCTGATGTCCGTTTTGGCTCTGTCCTATTTTATATTGTTTCATGGACTTTGGTACTGAATACTGTTTGTTATCCCCATGTCCTTTTTGATATTGTAGAGCCTGTATCTTTGTTTCTATGCCGTAACAAGTGAAGTAGCTTTTGTTTGTTTTCCACATAAACCTGACGGTAATTTCCTTACTCTTACTGCTGGTGTTCAGAGTCGGTTTTAGGCATAGAGTCTATAGACAACCTCTGTTCATACAGTTGCCGAAGTTAAAAGGTATTGTCTTTCAAATAATATCCCTGGTGGCTCTACATCCTCGCTGTGTATGACCTTCTCTGCCACATCTCCTACATAAAACTTCAGCAAATTGTTGATTTTGTAACGACAGAAATGTACCGACTGTGCTGATTGGGTCACGTTGATTATGTTGATGTGATCTATACTCATTTTTCTTATTTCTATGTCTCCAAACTCTTCCTCTAATATAGCCTCTGTCTCGTGTCCTGTACGTTGCTGAGCCTCTAAACCGAGTTTGATATTTGCCTTGTAGTTCTTGTCCCCCGCTTGATTAGTGGGGGATATTAATTTGGGTCTGTCCGTCATTCTCTCTGTCTGTAACGCTTTCGTTTCCACACGATATCTCGAGAACTCTTTGCACTTTGGCACTGAAATTTTGCATAGCAACTCTCTATGGACTAAAAAAGAACCCTATTAATTTTGAGGTTCAAAGGTCAAGGTCATAAATTCGCAAATTCTGTGTGTTATAACGTTCTGTCTGTTATTTCTTTTCCGCGCGATATCTCGAGAACCCTTTGAGCTTTTGCAATGAAATTTAACATAACCCCCTTTGGCCTAAGAAAGACCCCTATTGATTTTGAGGTCAAAAGGTTTAAGTTCAAGGTTTAAAATTTATACATTCTGTCTGTGAGTAACACTGTCCTTTCCGGGTGATATTTCAAGAAGATTTTAAACTATTGGAGTGTAATTTTATACCAAAACTCTCTAGGACCTCTCTCATTCCTCTCAAAGTGTCCGGCTCCGTTTTTTTTTATTCGTATTTATCATTCTCCGCAAACAAAGTTTAGGGGAGCGTATTGGAATCACCATAACAGTCTGTCTGTAGACGAGATTTTGTCCGGACCATTACTCAGAAACTATTGGAAGGATTTGTCTGAAAATTTTTGTGCGTATTATTCACCATATGAAGGTGTGAACATATTTTCTTTTTGTTTGGATGATTATTTCGGAAATTTTCAGGTGTGCACCTGGAATTTTCAACTTTATTTGTTTGTTCATTTTTCTGCATTTCACAGGTTTTATTTTTATTTTAAACGACTTGTTCATTCTGGGCTCATGTATAAGGTTTGAGACATAAAATCTAGAATATCTGTACAAAAATGTGAACTACAGCTTAAAACTACTCACTAAAACTAAGTGTTCACAACCCCTTCAAATTTCACTAGATTTTCCTCTACACTCACAGGCTGCAATTATACGAACAACAATGTACATATGAATCTAAAATTATTATGCACGTTATGTTTCTTCCTCAAGATATTTGTAGTTTACATTGTAGAACCATACACTACACTGTGGAGATTAAGTATTTACTTTATATGATGATTATAAATTAAGTTAAAGCATGAAGTACAAATAGTAAAACCAAATGTTCTTAAACTAAGAACTAATAAAATTTTGAATTACCTCAAATTTTGTTGATAATGTGGAGTTGTAGCTTCTTTGGCAATTAAAGTCATTGGTTGTTTTTATGCAAGTGGCTTTGTACGTCTTGCCAATAGATCTCTGGTCGCTCTGCAACTACACCTCAAAGGGTTAGCAGAGCAGTGCGCTCCCCAAATCCCAGTTCGATTTTCCTACTCATATTTAGTGAATTTACATCAATGGATATTTAATGATTTACATCAATGCTAAATTTTCAGTATCTTTTTTTCCATAATGCATTAGAAACATAACTGTTCCTGGGTCCGCCGTCATAAAACTTGAAGAATTCTAAAAAAAAATCTCAACTCAAGTCTTTAGATTTACTCAGTTGAGAATTTGAGAATAAAACAGAGTTAAAGGAATTTTTTCTCAACTTTTTTTATGACGGCCGCTGAGTCTGAAAATTTTGGATTTGAGAAAATTCTCCGACTTGAGAGCATTCTAAGGCTTAAGTTTGTTTTATAACGGCGGACCCTGGAGGCTCAAAAATGTTTTGGGCAGGACATTTTTATGCAGTCGGTAGAGAGAGGGCAACCAAACTTTTTTAAAGCTGGTTTAAGCAATTTCATCTTGAAATTTATTACCCAAGTACACCACATATTAACCCAAGTTTAAGGTACTTTGTATAAATGTTTCACTAAATGCCAAAATACAAAATTGCATGAACACATCAGAGATTCAAGTCTAATGTTATTGCCCTCTCCCAGCTTGCGAAAAAAGTGTTCGAATGGATGCACAGAGAAGGAGACAGATCAAACATTCCAAAAGAGGGAAGAGTCGGCGGATTACTCGTAGATGAGATGGCTACACAGGAGAGTCTTGAAATAACTCATAAGGGAAAAAATTTAGAAAAAGTGGGTTTCACAGAAATGGGAGAGGGCAATCTTCACCCATTCTCAATAAAAGTGTGCATTGGAGATTTAAGTTTTGAAAAAATAAAGTTGTTGAATTAATAGATTTTTGTTATTAATTTAAAATTAGTAGAGTTTACAGATTCCGAATGTATAAGTTTTCTTACGTAAATAATCAACATGTTTTAATTATGCTACAAGGAATATAGACCTTTACTCAAATAATCAAAGTACTGAAAGTACTGAAAGCCGGGCTTAAGAACAGCACACAGGTGAAAAGAACAGGTTTCAGTTAAAGTATCAATGATATAAGGAATTATTAGATGCAGCGAATGAAAAAGCATCGTTAAATTTTATATAAGAACAATAGGTTTAACTTTGATGAAGTATAAGGGTGATTTTATCTTTTTATTTTTGAGCTTTATATACTTGTTCTTTATTGTTATTGAGCATTTTTTTTCTTGCCTTATGCCATGGCGTCAGGCACTACTTAGGATCAATATTTCCTACGTCCGAAGCTAAGAGGTCACAGTTAGCCAGCAAAATTTTGTGCATGCTGATTATCATCGAATTTTGTTACCTGCGTTTCAACAACAACAGTTAGCAGAAAAATGATCATATTACTGATAGACTGAGGATGTATTTAAACATGCATACAATCGCAATATGTCGTCCCTAACTTCGTTCGGGACGACATAATGACTAGAAAGTCTGCTATTGCAAGCAAAAGAGTATGTTTCCCGAACTGGAGAATTTTCATTTTGTCATCAGTAATACTATGCCCATTAGCTAAGCTTGGACAACCATCAACTCGTATCAGTCCTTTCGGTACTTTGATTTTAAAATCGGAGCTAAGCGCATGTGCATGCATATGCAAGTTATAAATCCCATCCTGTTTGGTTCAAAACTAGAGTAGTTATAGCCATTTAAAGTTTTAGCCAATCAGATTGCAGTGCACATGCATGCACATGTTTTCATGATTATTGTTATATATCATATTGTAGTAATGCATGACTTGTCGTAATGCATGACTTATATAAAATTTCAATGTATTTCATCAAAAAAGAAAGAGATATTAAAATTTTTGTTTCAGCCAATCAGAGCAAAGTGCACGTGCATGCACATCATTTCGTGCTAATCTGACAATGTCATATTATCTACACTATTAATATATCCTTATATAATATCCTTATGAAATGAGCATTTCATCAAAAAAGTGTAAAAGTTAAAGCAATATTCAGTATACAAGTCATTTAATGTTGCAGGCATCCGCACGTAAATGCGTATGTACACAAAATGACCTTTGTTCCATACATCTACACAACATGCCTATTAGCCTTAAAAAGGTTTTAGCTCAATTGGATGGACATTTTTCTAGAACTCAAACTTGGACAACCATCAAACCTATCTGTACTTTCAGTACTTTGATTTAATCAAAGGCCTGAAGGGCCTGCGAGTTGACTCGCTCGAGTCAATTGAGCTTTTTCATACATCTGGGCACCATACCTTAATATATTCAGTTTATTTTGTATCTTAAGAGATTAAATATTATATGTCTGATCCATGTTCGGTTCATAAATAAAGTGTATATTGCTTTTCCTTTATAAATACAGGTTGGCACTAATGGGCTTCCGTATTATTTTGACTGGATTCTATAATGAATTTCAGCACATTAGCTGAAGTGGTCAGTGTTATGGAATAATTAGGTTAAAGATTCCCACAGCAAATCTGGATTCTAAAAATAGATTTTCAACAACAACTAGCTGCAGCTAATGAGAGCAGCAGGTGTTTGTGTTAGGGAGTATTCTTGGTCAATTATAAATAAACTTCAGATGGGAAGATTAGATCCGCCTAACATGTTTGAACATATTCATACGCAGTAATTGTACATCTTACAGGTATTTAATCAAAAATTTCTTTAAAAGCATGAAGGTATAAATAATGTTACAGTATGGAATTTTATACAGTTTTTACCTCTTAAGTTTATACAATCACTCAAACCAAAGCATGTTTTGCTAGAACTATTATCTTTGGTGTATGGATCACCTTGATGAATGCGTGAAAAATTTTACAGCTCTGAAACTGTTAACCCTCTGAAACGGCTATGTCGACAGGGAGTAGCTCGCTACGCGAGCCAACTCAAAAATCGAAGTTCAAGAATTTTGACTTTTCCCCCCTTTCCATGGAAACTAATAAAAGCTTCGAATTTTTAAATCCAATAAGCACAATTAAAGAACCTAATCATTACATCCACAAAATTTCATGACGAATGTGCAAGGGTCTATGCCTACAAGTTTTGGGGATTTTAGTTCATGTAGAATAGTACTTGATGCAACAGAAATCACCCAGGATGTTCCAGGGAATGATATGAGATTGCAGGCCAGCACATACAGCGGATACAAAAATTCTCACACTGTTAAAAGTGTTACAGGTGTTGCACCTAATGGTGCTTTGGTATTTATTACTAAATTGCACCCTGGCAGCACATCTGATGTTGCAATTGTAGAACATTGTAAAGTCTTAGAACAGTTATCTCCAGGTGATATGATCTTAGCAGACAAAGGGTTCACTATTCACAAGTTGTTGCCCCCAAGGAGTACATCTAAATATTCCTCCCTTTCCAGTGAGGTCCAACTATGTCGAAGAATTGCTAAGTCACGCATACATGTTGAAAGAGCAAATGAGCGTATTAAGAATTATGAAATTTCAAGGCATGTTCCGCAGCAATTTAGATATATTTCTACAAAAGTCTTTCAATTATGCTGTGTTTTAGTCAATTTTCAGGATCCCCTTATGCAGGAAATTGCTCAGAATTTTGCAAGTGTAGATAACTAAGATATTAAAATTAAAATGTTTTCACCATGTTTAATGTTATATCTTATAGCTGTTGTAAATACGGGAGAAATTTACAGAAATAAAAGTCTGTCAAAACAGATATGTTGATCTCCCAATTGATGTCTTTGTTAATTCTCACAATCGCACAGTCTTTTGGTGTCCAGACCATAAAATCACACAAGGATTTCCCAATTATATGAAGCTGTCCTTGCACTTGATCATAGTATTGGTGGTTCTCTCATAGCTTGAAGGACTTGACTCCATTAAAATCCTGAACCTCTATATGAAAAAAATATATATGTTGAAGATTTTTAAAGAATAAGAATTTTCATTGGTGCCTCAATCATTAATATAAGACAAAACTATTTAACTAATAAATATTTACATGTATAAGTATTTTGTTCCTTACTGTACAATAAAGTGAGAAGGCAAATCATCTGCCTTGAGGACTAACATTACAACAGAAGGAAAAAACTTTTTTAACAATTGCTAAATTGTACTTAAATTTATCCAAACTAATATATTGGAATTATTTAAAGTAATATCTCAGTACATGAAACGTATTCAAACAAATACATAGATCTACACACTATTATTACCTAGGCAGAAATCGTGTACTTTTTCAATAGCTTCTGGAATTGTCATATTCTTTGCTGAAAAGGGGCATTTCACCTCCAGTATTTCTGGCTTAACGTTTGACATCTCTAATATGTCAGCGAGTCCTGGATTCTGATAGCTGAATCCGAATGCAGCAGGACGACGAATGAGTCCATCGGGGCTTGACCCAAGAACCCCATTACAGTGTAGCCAGATACCTAATATGAACAGTATTACAAAGTTTCAAAATAGCATTAATATGCAACACTCTGATTTTCTTATGCATTGATGACTTGTTATAAATAGAATATACAAACAGTATATTCATATTCATTATCTTCAACTTCAGTTTAATAACTAAATTTTAAATAAATTAGCTCAAGAAAAATTTTTATTTATCATCAATTTTTATTTGCTTTAAAGAAATTGAAATTTTGCTTAGGAAAGAAATGTACCAACCTGTTGGCTCTACAACTGCATCCCCAAAAGTTCTATACTTTTCAATTGTGACTTTTTCATTGCACGTCCCCCAAATAATGGCATCCTTCTTTGACAGATCATAAGCTGAGCATAATCTTTTGTATAAGGAGACAGGATATCTGTTATATAAGGAGCAAACTTTCAATATTTTTGAATTTATAATTAACTGCTTTTACAAGTATCATTTATAATTACATATACATATAAAGGCATGTAAACTACCAGTATACCTATTTCTCTTGATCGCTGCCAAAACCAAAGTTTGAAGCTGTTGATCTATTCTTCCAAACAGATGACCACATGCAATTTTCCTTCTGACCAGTGGTAAGACAGGCAATCTACAACATGACAAAAATCTTAAAACTTAAACAACATTCATAATGAAACAGAATACATTCTATTCATTATGCAACTCATTTGTCTTTACCTGTTGGATTTCTTGCTCATTTATCATTAATTTTTGCTTCATCCAAGCGATTGGATTCTCTGCAGAAATAATTTCCTGGCTAGAGATGAGGTCTTCAACTAGAGGCACTGCAAGTGTGGGCACAGGCGGCTCGGGGGATAGTATCCAATGCATTGCTGTTGATTTAATTAAACAAAAAAATTAAACCCTCAGTGAAAAAGACAACAAATACTCAATAAACCAGTATTGCAGTTACATCACCAATTCTTAATACTGGTATATATGTTAAATATTTTTTCAAACTTATTCTATTTACTACTTCAAATAAATTTTGGATTTCAATATGTATACATGTGAAAAGAATGTACAAATAACTTCCTTTAAGTATGTATGAGAAATAGGGTGAATAATATTTAAACATTTTACTAAAGGTTGCAGTTGAGTTGAAGTTTTATATTACGTCACGATCTTCTAGTTTGACAGATGCGTTCAAGGTAAATAGTATACGCCTCCTAACCGCAAGCTTTACGACTGGAACTTTCTTCTAATCCCTGATTGTTTGCTTGTACAACAAACTATTTCTGTGTCAAGGTTGATAATATGAGTTTATCAATCACATGAATAAGTCTTATCGACATGCCATTTTGCACATGCCGAGAGTTCCGATAAACACTTCCGGGTCATAGGTCATTCGGGATAAAAACAACACGAGGAAGACTAAATGCTGTTGTGCTGACTGGTAATGTCGTAAGTATAACGGTTATTTTTCGTATTATACATGATCATCACATGAGTGGACATCATGAAAAAGTTAATGTGCATTTGTCTTTAGGCATACAATGTCAAGATTTGATATAATTTTCCTGTTTAGTGTTTGTAACACGAAGGACAGTACTTAGATCTAACAGTCTAATGGGTGCATGTACTCCCTTATAATTAATGTAATGTGGGGTATTTTTTGTGGAGCGATTGTTTTTGGGGTTTTGACGATTTTTTCGTACTGTACACATGATGAATAAGTTTAATAAATATAATTTTTGAAAAAAAATGTCAAATAGTCCCCGGGGTTGAATATGGGGGGTCCTGTCCATAAGTACCTGTGGTATAACGTTAGGAGTCGAAGTCAATCAGTTAAGAGAGAGAGAGAGAGAGCAGTGATAATACTATTGCTATTTTTATTCACATTCAGATGGTGAGTGTGGTCACTTGCCATCAAAAGTAAATTGAATTAAGTTCTCTACATTGAACATGTTAAACTAAAAGTACACTTAGCAGATTTCTAACCACAATTAAGTACTGTACAATAAAGTAATCTATTTTTGTCATGATAGCATTCCCTATCGACTGAAGGCTATATATAATATTATCAGGAAACATCTATGTATGTCCTCATATGTTAAGATCGGTCATTACCGAGTTATAATCTTTAAAGTTTTGAATTTTAGTTGAAAGAATGAGGATTTGTGCCATTAAAGACTGCACAAGCAGCACTTACCAACTCAAAAAATGGAAAAAGACATTTTGTGAAGTGCACCAATGCAACAGTGGTACAGGATGGTGTGTGTGCCCTCCCCCATTTGATCTGATACCCTTTCCAACAGAAAGAAAAGACCCCGAATTAAGGGCAAAATGGATTAAATTAGTTAATCGACAGTTGAAACCTGGGAAAAATTGGAAGCCTGATGATGACAGTAGAATATGTTCGAAACATTTTGAAGGAGGCAATCCTGTCCCAACATTAAACCTTGGGTATGAACTAACTATGCCTTTAAAACTCAGGCCTCCCCCAAAGGAAAGACAGCCATTAATACAAAAATCTAAGAAATCATCAGAAACCAAGGTTAAAACTGATGAAAATGAAAATGTTGTCCATCTAACAGAAGATAATTCAGTTACGTGTACAGTTCCTTTACAATTTGAGCATGATTATTGTGCAAAATGTGTTTGTAATGCAAACTGTGAGTGTTTAGGGTGTTTAGAGAAATCTAAAATGATAAATAATCTTAGTTATCAGTTGGAAAGATTGCAAATGGTCACGACAAATGAAAGTAAACTCCATGCAGGAAAGAAGAATGTGCACAAAAGGTTTACAAAAACAGATAAAAAAGTAAGAGCCAACACTGGCCTTCCAAATAAATCAACTCTTCTGAACTTATACAAATATTTAAAACCAAAATCCCATCGCCTGAGATATTGGGAGGGCTCTAAAAAAGTGATCAGTACCAAAGTACCTCGTCGTTTCAAGAAATCCCCAAAAAAGAGTGGTCCAGAGAAAAAACTTGGTGCACTTGATGAGCTTGTTTTAACATTAATGAAACTTAGACTAGATATTAACTTTGAATTTTTAGCCGATTTATTTGGAGTCTCTCAGGGTACATGTTCAAAGATTTTTAACACTTGGATAAAATTTCTGTCCAAAGAGTTAATGCCTCTGATCTTCTGGCCAGACAAAGAAATTGTCAGAAAATTACTACCACCATCATTAATAAAACAGTACGCCAAACTTAGATGCACAATAGACTGCACTGAAGTTTTCATTGAAAAGCCGAGACATTTGGAACTACAAGCTCTCACGTGGTCCGATTATAAACAACATAATACAGTTAAAGTACTTATTGGAATAGCTCCTAATGGAGCTATTTCTTTCTTAAGTAAGTGTTATGGTGGAAGGATGTCGGACAGACAGATTGTCCGTGAATCATCTTTTCTTGACTTAATAGATCCTGGCGACATTATCTTAGCTGACAGAGGCTTTCCAATTCGAGAGGAACTTTTGCTCCGGTATGCAAATTTGGTTATTCCACCTCCAGGATCCGGCATTCAACAAATGACAAGAGAAAATGTAGAAAAAACAAAAAGTATTGCTAATGTACGTATCCATGTTGAAAGAGCCATCAACAGGATCAAGTGGTTTGCCATTTTGAAGAACACACTACCAATTACTCTGGTTCCTCTTGTAGATGACATTGTTTCTGTTTGTGCAAGTCTTTGTAACTTACTCAAACCTCTGGTTACAAGGTAGATCCGTACTGAAATGACTTCATCAACAGTGGTACTTTATTGAAAATACAAAATGATGAAAAATAGGAATGTAAATTTTTTTCAAGTGATTTTTATTATTGATAGCAATGTGATTTAATTGCATGTCTAAACAGTTTTTGATCTTCAACTTTACAAATGAAATTCACTTGAGCATATACGTATGCAAATTTATACAATATAATGTATTAACAACAAATTTCATTCAAAAAGAAAAATAATGTAGATTTTTTCCTAAAAATAGAGACTAATACAATGGAAGTCATTAGCCATTTTCTCATAAAATTTTTCTCATTGATAGTTTTCAATATGCGTTGATACATATATACATATATGTCTTTAAAATTTTATAATCAATACTGACTAAAATTATCACATAAATTGATATATATATATATATATCAATAAAATATGAAAGAAAACACTGTGTTTGTTTCCAAATTAAAATCCAAATTTACTCAAAGGAGATTGATGAACATAGCATGCATAATGCCAAAGATTCAATTTATAAAAATCATATTCAGTTTGTAAATTACATAAATAAAGTTTTCATTATTTATTTTGTGATCTTTGACCCTTTGGCCTTGACCTTCATGTTTGATTACTGTGAAATGACATATGATAGGGCATTCATGTTTAATAACAATATGCAATAAATATTAAATGGCATGTCACCCTCTTAAACACCAAAAGCAGGTTATTATTGTTATTTAATCACCTTTACGTTTGTCACCCTGTTTGAATTCTGCAAGGCTTGTTTACCTACATCCCTAGCTAACTAGTTTTTGTGCTAAATGTTTTGTAAAAAATTCTTTCACACAAGCTTTGATATCATCCCAGACCTCTTGATTCAGGTGCACGCGCTCCAAGAAATATCCCGCCTTTGTATAAACAAAGAAGTCACACCATTCTTTTCCCGTCACTCCAAGCTGGGTTTGTATTTGATAGTAATACGAGTGATTGCATTTGAGCTGGCTGCCCTGTTCACATTTTTCTAAATAATCAAGGTTTTGGTGGGAGGGATTGTCATTGGCTATTCTATATGGACACTTTATCTCCAAAATCCCCTCAGAAGATGAGGTAGAATCATATACAATACCATCAGGAGTAGCTCCTAAATAGATCATTTCCAAAAGGACAAATAAACCGCATTCATTCACCATGACATTAGCTTTGTTGACCGTTTTCATAACTTGGATGTACTTAAGTTTTGCCTCTGACTCCATGACCCTTCCATATTTTAAGGCTGGCAAATCTTCATTTGGTTTGGTAATGCCTGAAATACACAATTGCCATGTATGTATAACAGGTTTATACTGTATGACCTTGGTTGGTGCAGTTTGCACATTATTAAAAAAGATGTAAAATGTTACCTAAATTTGAGTATCTATTTAAAATTGTTCTTCATCATGTACGGGATAAAAAATAAGACAATTTCTTTTTTTAAAAAAATCACTTTAAATTTTGTAATCAGATTCTGATGTTTTTGAAGCAAGTCTTACTGCAATAGTCAAGTACAAAAGTGTAACAGGTTAGGCCTAGATAAATAAATTGTGTGTTTCCAATTCCCCAACCAACCCTAGAATATATAGAGGATATCTATATTGTGCAATTTGATATTGGCTTTATCCAACGAGTTGAAATGCTGTATACATTTGCGAGGCTTGCCAAGCAAATATACACCATTTCAACGAGTTGGATAAAGCCAATATCAAATCACACAATATAGTATATTTATCTCATACACTTAAATATTGTTTCAACAAAACTTTGAGACTTCCCCTGCATGAAACTACATTGATGAATGATTTCTAATTCAAATTGATGACGTTTTTTTTTGAGAGTAGTAACTTGATAACATAGCACCGTTGATGTTGACATGCCTCGAAAAAAAGTAGATCATGTTCAAAATTTGTTCTTAGTACAGTCTATTTTTTTATATTAGAGTAGCATTTTGAGAGTTTTTAACAGAAATTTCTATTTTTAGTTAACATCACAATAAAAACCGCACAGAATTATGGTTCACGTGCACAAAATTGATAATAATGTGATAACTTTTACGTAAAAAATGAAAGTGAATTTCAAAATCCAAAACCGATACACAGAATTATGTATCTTAGTGTAGTCTACTTGTGTGCTAAGTTATATTGAAAGTTTATGTTTATTTCAAAGGTTTTGCTTGTTTTGGTATAATAAACAATTCATTGCACAGAATTATGAATGTTCTACTTGTGTGCCAAATATTGAAATCATGTAGGAGACATTTTGAAAGATTGTTTAGCCAAGAAATATCTTATTCCCCTTGGAATTTAAGAACGGCGAAGCCCTCAATTCATTGCATGAATATGATTTTTCTTGGCTGAATAAGTCTTCATATTTCCCTCACTATCAAGCAATAAATGTATAATATTGTTTGTACGAGGAGTAGCATTTTGAAAGAATACAGAAATTTCTATTTTTAGCGAAATAAAAAACTGATACACAGAATTATGTATCTTAGTGTAGTCTACTTGTGTGCCAAGTTATATTGAAATCAGACCAAAACTGTAGGAGGAGTAGCATTTTGAAAGAATATCATAGAAATTTCTATTTTTAGTAACAACGGCAACACCGTTCATCAAAATCCAAAACCGATACACAGAATTATGTATCTTAGTGTAGTCTACTTGTGTGCTAAGTTATATTGAAATGGTAGGGAGCAAAATGTTTTTGATTTCTAAGGATATTTCTTGATAAATACCTAGGACACTTTTGATGAGATTAGTGGTATCAGTGTCTGGTTTTCTTTCAGCAGTATGCATTCTTGTCACCACTCTGTATACCAAAGAAGCTGTTATCCTTCCTTGTCGCTGTTCTTTCCACAGGGGTGATTGCCATTGTCCTCTGGTAGACTTTTCCAATGCTTCAGCTTGGTCTGGAGTAAATGTTGGCAATTTCTCTAGTAGCTCATCTACACTACTGCAATCTTTTGCTTTAGAAAAAAAGTTGATTTATTGCAGATTAATTTTTATTTCAGTTCAATTTTGCATATATAATATTAAGTAAACTGATGTTAGGCCTGTCCTGTGAGAACTATGGCAAAAAGTCTAAACAACTAACTCAGACACACAATCTAACTAAAATAAGAGGGTTAGGTCCGCTCACATACTGGCTACACTTACATCCCATAGAGGGTCACGTCAGAGGTCAAATTTGGAATATCTCTAGACTTATTCGCTCAATAATTTACAATGATTTTACAGGCAATGATTTGATTGGTTGATAGAATTTGAACTCTGATGTGACCCTCAATGAGATGTTGTTAGATGTTAGTGTAGCAAGTATACGAGTATATCTAATTTAACCCCCGATAAATTTCAATTAGATTGCTCAGAAACATAGATTTCCATTGCCACAACCTTCGGGCTTGATGGAATTTAATAAGTAACCGACCCATTATTTACATTTCAATAGATGTTTAAAAATACCTAAGACATTGTATATCTGTTTTAATTTATACCTTGTGAAGAAATGGAAGGAGGTATGAAAGCCCCTGTTTCACATTCAACAACTGTACCCACATTGACATCATCCTCTGGGGAGAAAGCTGGTGTAGACAGTGGAAGAGCATACTGGAAAGCACAGGAGGAAGGACAGCTGTCATATAGTGCATGCAACAAACTCTCTAAGTTCGGTGATTCCTTAGATCTTGATGGGTTGAATAAAGTTCTAACCATTGGATTTATTGTCTTCTTTTCACCTACAAATATAAGAAGTGGAATTATCTGTTTTTCAAATATAATTTCGTATTATAAGCAAAGTTTTATATTTTGTCAGGAGTGAACAGAATTAATAGCACATATTGACATCCTGGAGGCACGGTAGAATTCATCTGCTTAAAAGTCTGGTATCGAATATATAGTGAGCTGGCCCCATTCACAATATTGCTAAAAGCCAGTAAAAGGAACTTTACTAATAAAAGACAATTATTTTTGGGGCTCACAACTTTGGCAGGGCTGACAACTGTCACTAGCAAGCAGCCCTATATTATATATGTCCAGCTGATTTTAGAGTGAGTTTCAAACACTATTATGAGCCTATAAACATTATAAAAATATTGGGCCATTCATCATGACCAAGCAGATTTGGTTGCAATTATTTATTGCATATTGTCATGGTCACCCTTCAAGGTCATGGGGTCAAATGTTCAAGGACTGTATATGCAACATGGTTGATTGGAATTAATTGTCACAAAGCTGTTTCATTTATTTATATTCAAGTTGAAGAACATTCAATATGCTCAGTTTTTATACATACCTTTCTTACTGTAATGTGGTTTGCGCCATTCTAACTCTGATATGGGTTTATGCTGGATGTTGTTTAGCAAAGATGGCACATTCCACTTGCAAGGTAAAGATGTACATGTTTTCTGTGTCATACCATGCTGCCATGCAAAATCCACTTTAAACAAGATAGCTGCTATATGGTTACATGTAGACCCTAAACTGAAAAAAAAATCCTGACTATAAGTCTTCTGAGCTCTACATGTACATTAATAATTTTAAAAGCCCCTCAGGTTCAATTTGTCAGAAATTTAATTGATAAAATCTCAAGTATCATGACAATACAAAAATGTTATGCTAAATATATTGATACATGTATTTATACATTTGAATGTTTTTACATGTACACAGTATTTGTCTTCCAATTTTTTTTTAAAATCAATATAGAATATAAATACAGTGTTTGTTTATGGAGGGCCAAGCGAAAAATAAAGGGTGAAATAAATAAAGATTGAACTACCCCTGGACATGAGTCTAGATATAAATCTACAATGTAAGCACAGGCACCTGACGTTACTTCTTTTTCTTAATTACTTAAATAAAAAAATATACCCTTACCTAATATTTATTATTAGTAGGGGTATATTTTTTATATTAAAGTGTCTGTGATTGTGCATGTAATCCCTATTATTTAAATATAAGCAAGGATCATGCATGTACTACATCAGGGACGGTGCGCCCTATTATAGATCTACTAACTATTAGTACTTTTAAGGAATGGAGTGCTATTTGTACATCAACCCTTACGTATTCATGCATGTACAAATAAGTCATTGTATGCATTATATACCATTTACTTACCCAGCAAAACAGGTACAATAAGCTCTGCATATGTACCCCGTCTTTTTGTCCAAGCACACCCAAGCTGTGTGGAATGTCGAATTAATTTTCTGAGACGGGGTGCAGTATGCAGACAAAATGCAATATGGTGATTCTTTGCTAATTGGATGGTATTTAAGTTCTTTCAGAAACTTTGAATCGAAGTAACTATACGCCTTTCCTTCCTTGTAATCATTTAGAAGACGCTTTCTCAGATCACCGAAAGTGGAAGGTGCTGTAGTTGTCAAATATTCGGCGATATCGAAGTACATAGTGGGAGGCCACTGCGATATGCCATTCTGCTCCGACACCCACCCCGTCTTCAAGCATAGAGGGTCCGGTATATTGTGGTCGTTTACCTTTAACAAATCTAAGTAGTCTTGTTTGTTTTTCATTTTTTCCTCCACAGAATCCTTTTTCGTTTCGATCTTCATCTGGCTTGCACCGAAGGCAAGTGCTACCAGCTCCACTTTCCTGCCTGTTGTCTTGAGGCCTCGATCGCGGAGATATTCTTTTAGCTCCGGAACCCTCCATCGTAAGAAATCATCATACGAAATCTCGCTAACGCCATCCATTTTATCCCGCTTGACCTTTTGACCCTACCCGCGCCTGGGAGAATTCTCATCGCGCCTGTCAAAAAAGATTGATCAAAACTTCACACTGAATTGAAATTGATAGTATAAATGTATAATTAAAAGTTTAAAACAAAGTTAATACAACACTGAATGGTTTTACATATACCATGCTAGCTGCAGATCTGTAGCTTGCTGGTCTGAAAAAATTAGGATGGACGACCAGAGAGATACAGTTCCATCCATTGAAAAAAGTGTATATTGCCCATAAAAAATATGCTATTTCTCTATTTTTTATATTTTCACTTTTGGGGTACTGTCATTTTTTAATATTTTGCACCATTCATGAAACAGTCATAATAAATGCATACCTGTAATTTATAAACCTGTCATGTGCAGGAAAAAGTTCTTCCATCGTCTTAGTTTGACGAGGTGGCGCACTCTGGATGCTTAATCCAACTCTGGCGTACATCAGTTTTGCTGACATTTTTGTACCTGTATCAACATGTTCCATAAATTTACTAAGTTATATTATAGTCTTGGGGCCTAAAGTTAGATTTTATAGTTACAAGTATGCTTATATATGCCAAGGTAGTGGACTTGGAGGTTCCAGGGCACGAATAGTACCCTGCTACCTACAGTCACATGGTGAACTGCACACTTGTATATACCGGGTATATATATTGGTGTGCATGTTTTGATATAATTTCTATTTAACATTAAATTTGGTAAAGCATACCTAAAACAGACCAAGTGAATTTACATATTACATAAATTGCATATAAATTACCCATAGAGAAGAATGCTGGCTTTATGGTGACATTTGTCCATCCCATGTACACATTCACAGGTACTCTGTTCAACTGTGTAGTTAGAACCAAGAGTAATCTAATAAAATAAAAAAAAAATAACCACCTAGAATTTTACTTATATTATCTGCTACTATCAATTTTAAAAGTAAAAAGCATGTTTACATGGAAACTTGAAAATTGTGGAGAGAGAAAAAAAAAGAATTGTAAATTAATTTATTATTATGTATTAAGACATTGCATAGACACTTTCAGTCAAGGAAATTCGGAAAGAGGTTTGTTCTGGATTTATTGCATAGGCAGGATAAAACATATAACGTGCGAGTACACCCATTATTGCCGAGTACCCATTATTGCCGATTTTCGTTTTTACGTTTAAAAATCTGTCAAACGGTATTTATTTGTAAATTTTTTGCAAAATACATAAATTACACAATTTTTCCAAACCCCAAATCGTCTCGGAGAAAGAAAAAGTTGTTTAGAATTAATAAACTCACCATTGATATATCAAGTCTTTGAAAACGCACAAAAAAGCAGTTGTGCGACAGGACATGCCATAGAATTTTCGGCTAGCTTTCCATTTTCCTGACAGAATCAGTCATGTTTTGGTGCAAATCAAATGAATATTCTCCTGCATGCAATGATACTAAACGAAATTATCCATGGTAATTTTTCTCCTTGCATTATTTAACGAAAATTACGACGAGTATGAAGCGTCTGCTGTACGACGCCATTTTTGTTTTATACGGGAGCGGATCAAAATCCACCACATGCACCTGTTCTTAATAAATCTGCAATAGGTTATTTTTATCGATTTATTTTTGCTCATATCGCTTCAAAATTATATGGACAACTTTTTAAAATAGCATAACAAGGTGAAAGTGTCTTATTTAATTTTTATTAAATTAAAATATATATAAATGGGAAAATAAATGGGAAAATGAGGAAAAAATTCACAAGTTCTGGATGACATGAGAGTACAAAGACATATCCTGGATTCATCCTTGGAGAAACAATATACTCAATAACTTGCTCCACATTTTTTTTTCTTCAAGAGATAAAAAAAATAAATATTATGAAAAATGGAGTTCTATTGAAGATGGGGATGCAAGCTACTTTTCTTTAAAAACCCCTTTTACAACTCCAAGTCATTTTATGGCTATAAAAATTGGAAACTAAAACTCATGCAGGGGCTGGAGGGTCTAAATTCATACTTTATAATTGAACAAAATAGAGAAAAGTTACTTCCATTTACAGTTACAACATTTCTTTACATACTCCTATATATTTTTAATTCTTCACATAAAACTGTAAAGCTTTGATTAAGCAGCCATAGGCAGAGGTCTGTATGACATTCATTCAACTCCTTAAAATTTCTTCAGATACTGTAGTCAACCATTTATTTGGTCATTGGCAAGGCAAAGACTTAAAAAAAAAACTTTTCTTTCTTCCAAAAATCTCAAAGAAATGGGATGAACTTACAGTAACCTGTAGCTCCGGTCTCGCATGGAGGCTTGCACAATTCCTCTTATAAACTGCGCATCTTTGTCATACACAAACTTTAAAACGTGGTCAGATTGTACGGCAGTCTCCGATTTCCGCATAAGTTTCGTTGTACCAGCTGTATAATTTGACCATGGAGAACGCCATACCGCAATCGCGTATACCCAATGCCTTGTGTAATATGGCGTCTTCTTTGTTTATCTCCAGAAACGAAATCTGGCGATGTCTAGGGGGGTACTGTGTAGGCCTAACACCTGCATCATTAGGGACTCCTCGGCTGATTAGGTTTGCCGAATGAGTAGAAAATTTAGCCTGGTACCCTGTCTCACCATTGCCGAGGCAGTGACGCAGAGTAAACGAAGCAAAACAGGGACAGGGAACCAGGCTATGCGTAGGAATTTGTTAAAAGTTCTCTACTAAGAACAAATGTATTTTTGATAACTGCACAATAATAATTGCAGTACAGTTTATATTCACATTTAATTAATCAGATTATGAGTATAAATTGTTTCAACAGCGATTACAAGTAGATACACTATATTTCAGAACGTCAGTTTAATTTGGCGACTATTGGGTCAACATCCTGCCTTGAACAGGAAGTTGAACAGGATCCCATAAGCCGGCTATTGCTCTTTGAGCAATAAGCCCGGCTAAAAATTGCTCGAAAAATGTACGTTACCATTAGAAGGCAAACAGAGAGTGAACATTATTCAAAAAATCTCTCTCATATCATGTTAAAATATTTTTTTAGCTTTCTTTGATATTTGTTATTTTTTAGAAACAAATATATCATGAAATATCGATGGAAGTTTTTTTCCCACAAGGAGATGAAAGTACCAGTATTTTTATGTTGAATTGATCGTGAAATTTATCTTGAAACATATGATAATCAAAAACTACTAAATATTCATTTGGAAAATTAAACAATAAATAGTAATATTTCTGGAAAGGAAAGAAAATATACAAAAATATTAACCCCTTTACCACAAAAAAATTTGACAGCCCTTTCAGAAATATCAAACTGGAAAGCACATGTCAAAAGTAACGTACATTTCAAAATTAGGTCCCAGTCTGAAACTTGAAAAATTCTTACACAGACTGCAATGTTGACATAAGATAAAGTGCATTTTGTCATTTCTGTTATTTTTATTGAAATTAAGAATTAGGAAATAAACATTAAAACTTTTAGAAAATTGTAACCTACATTAACAAAGTAGAAATTAAGCAAACATTTTGATGATTTTCAGAACAATAAAAGTAATTCAAGTCTAAATGAATAATAACAAGTACTCTCAATCATTCTGATCGATAATAGATTGAATTCAACTTATTTATAAACCAATTAATGTACTTTTAACGTAACGTAACGTACATTACAAACAGTATCTGTTCTCACTCATTTGATCATATCCAAGATCTTTTCCTTGTCATCAGGCAGCAGTTTCATCTTTCTCTTGGATTTCCCCGTGTAAACTGGTTCAGATACTTTTCAAATGACATCTTTGATTGGTATCCAAAGGATATCATCTCTTGCCGGCCACTGGAAAAATTGCCTTTTTTTCTCCATGAAAATAACTTCCACTTCGTCATCGGAATGGTCGATTTGTAGAATTTTTGCAATGTACCAGCCTCTATCATACTTTGCAGCGATATATTCCCCCTCAGTAAGGTTAATCTGGCTTCCATTTGCATTTGATGGTTGTTCTTTTACCATGTCTGTTTCTTCAGCTAATTGTTCTTCCCCTTCTGGGTTTTTCCTGCGATTGTTGACCCGATTGTTCAAGCTCTGTACTTTCCACCCATGGTCAGCATTTGGATCCTCACCAAAGAAACATTGTTGACAGTAGCAGCTCACCTCATTCCAAGCTACTATGGAATTTCCTTTCCCGATTACTGAATGGACTTTGAAGGTACCTTGCAGAGGTTTGATATTTCTAGCAGATAGAGTATTTGCAGCTGAACTACATTCGTCAGATGATACAAAGAGAAATTTGATTCCTTTCAAGTTCGATTCCACAGCCCACTTATAAAAATCATCTGCATGTTGGATAACTTTTCTGCCACTCCTTACAGCTTCATCTGCCATTCTCTTGGTGGTTCCCCCAAGACCATCACATGGGCCCTTTCCATGCCCCGCCTCAAAATAATTCCAACGCGCATTAATGCCAAATATTTCCTTGTGGTTAGCGACGGTGAAAAAAATCTGTTTGTTCCGATATTGGCTAGTTGGCCCATCTTTCCAATAATGAATAACTTCAACATCTGGATCAATTTCTTTGAGGATGGGAATCAACTTCTCCAGAATCCCGTGCACAGTTATCGCTGAATGGCTCATTTCGTCTGATACAACAACGTAACTTAGATGCTCTAATATCATATCAGTGTTCATAAAATAAACCACAATCGGATGAAGCGTTACAGACGTCATATTCCAATATGCAGATTGGATTTCTCCATTAGATTTGCAAGCGTAATTTTCAGCAAAATCCATTTGTACAATGAAATGATGCTTCGGGAGTTTTTCCTTTAAACTTTTTATTTCCCGATACTGTCTTCCAACTCTGAAAACATGGCTTTCAAAATCCTTTACTTGTGCTTCAAAGGTTTCTATGAATGAACTCCTTTCAACATTCATTTCTACAATTTTTGTTACATTTTTTGTCTTCCCCTTCTCTGTGACTTTAATTCTTTTCCATTGACTGTACTTTACCTGCGCTGGTAGCTTATCTTGGAGTGTGGGCTTATCATTTTGCTTCAAAAATGACTCTGGATTTAATGGTACCTGCATCCCATTACTTTTCAGACATCGAAGCAGTAACGCCATATTCTGATGTTTTGTGCACAAACAAATACTCGTGTTGATATGTGTTTAGGTCTCATTCTGCAAAATGTAGCAAGTGAAAGTTCTATATTAGGATATTCCGATATGAACTTCTGATGCAAGTTGGATAAGTAATCTGTGAGTACTCGTGTTTGCATCTTTGTACCTGATTCAATTTTTTTCACATCTGCTTTACCCGGCTGTGCCCTACTGTTGTCATCTCTTTCAAGGAAAGATATTACTTCATTTTTGTACCTCTCTTGAACTCTTCTTCTTGATTTTCTTCCTATATCTATCCATTTCTTTATGATATTTCCAAGTTTGTTTCTGCTCATCCCTGTTTTACTTCCTAACCACTTAAGTCCCTTGTATCGTTTAAGTGTATTTCCAGATGCAATAGCTTGTAACATTTGCTTCTTCACAGTTGACGACCCAGCTTTCAGATTTGCCTCCTTAATTTCACAAAGCAGAGCATTTCCTAATAAAAGCTTTCTTTTGACTGCCTTTCCTCTGTTTGGGGATATACCTGCTTCTCTCAAATCTCGATCTGTTTTACTTCGTGGTGTTCTAGGTGACATACCTGCCTGTTGACGTTTTTGTAATCGCTCGTTTCTTTTTTGAAGCATTTTAATCTTCTTTTTCATTTCATCAGTTTTCGTCTTCAAATGATTTATTTCCCTGTGAGCTTTTGAAACTGCCCTACTTATCCTCTTTCTAGATGAACTTCTTTTTGAGTTGTTGAAATTCATTCTTACAACCAATTGCCCTTCTTCACCTGTAGACATCATATTACTTTCATAACCACTTGTCTCTCCTACATTGTCCTCTTCTGCTTGCAAAACTTCTGCTTTTCTTTTTTCACGATGTTTCTTTACTCGCTCTGCATTCTGTTTGTTTCTTCTTTTTCTTTCCTTGCTTGACAACTCTGCTGCTGGAACATAATATTTCATTCTCCTTGATCTCTCCTTCCGCAAATAACTTTCACCCTCCTTGGCTTTCTTTCTCTCTCGATATGCTTTTTGTATTTCAGGTCGACTCAGCGGCATCGTTCTATAAAATATTAATACAACAATTAGAACTCATTAAAGTGTCATTTTCAACAGTAATATGTTTATTGCTCATTGGTGAAACGTACGTTACTGATAGAAAAATAAAATGTATTATAACTTCATTGCAATTAAATAGGTGTTCCTAATTCAGATTAGTTTTTCATCGTCAAAACATATCTAAAATTTAAGAATATTGATATGAATCCTATAAATTATCTTTGCTTTGTCATATATCTACTCGTATTTCTCTTAATCAAAACACCTCTTTATTCCCATAATTTAATAATCAAATAATTAGATTTATCTGAAATGTTTGTGTATAATATAAAACAAACGTTAATATCAAAGGCTTATTAAAAAAAATTAGTAAGATGATTTTAGAAAAACAAAATAGATTATATTTAAAACGTCTTAATATTTTGAAATGTACGTTACAAATTGTATCGTACATTTCCCCGACTGATGTTCCATAACACGCAAACTCCGCGTCATTTATCAAGTTCTGGGTTAATGCTTAACCAATCACAAAATATGTATGAATAATATCACCTGAAATAATGCAACGGATTTTTTTATAGGGCATCATCAAAGTTTGTGTATAAATAAACAAAATAACTTACCCCTTTCGGCAATTAAAAAAAATAAAATTTGCTATTCGCCACAAGCACACATGCTCTGGCGTCTGCTTCTGGAACTGATACGGAGGCTTGGTCCTACCAAAAAGGTGATAAGTAGCTTGTTTGGTAACGTACGTTTCGATAACGTACGTTTCATGTTACCGTATTTTACAGTCTAACGAGTTGAAAAATATATTAATAATGGTTATGGACTTTCTTTTCATTTCGAAAAATAGTATTAAACGTTAGCAAAACGTACAAAATGTGTTCAAATTCTTTAATAAATATAATTTATATGATCTAGTACGTTACATTCTTATCCATACGATTAAGGTTAGTATACTTCTTCATGGCATTTAGATTTCAATCATTCTCCAGTAATAACAAAATGTGAACAATACATTTCAGATTTTCCTTTTACGTAAAGAAAATACAAGATTTTGTAACAGAATGATTTAGAACTGATAAAATCTTCATTTATTTCACTGTTATTTGCAAAGACACTTGTTCAGAGTGATACTTGCGACACCTGTATTTTACCTTATTTCTGTTGGAAATATGCAACATCATGAATTTTAAATCGCTTTTAAAGATAGATGGAATAATGCTACAATTACTTTGATGAAATCAAGTCACAATTAAAACACAGTAAAATAACTCAAGTACATATTGTTCAGATGCTTACTGTTTGCGACGGTAA